CCCCCTCAAAACGTTTTATTAGTAAAAAAACATCCTCAATGCCATTGAGTCTACAAATGAGGCAAAAAACTAAGTAATGAGTCGAGGCGATCAAACCGAGTTTGAGAAATATCACATATAAGATGTTCAAAAAAGAAGAGACATAAGGCGTCAAATCACTAAAGCAACTCTAAAAGTATACTTTGAAACGGGAAATAAATCACCTTGATTAAGTCATGGATTTTCAGGTCAAGTTAACGTTTAAAAACCATTTAAAATATAGATATCAATTTAAAAAATGGATAATAACCTCGAAATGCAGCGGGTTTGTAACCAAGGGACACGCAAATAGGATTATGAACACATTGACAAGACGTTGCTGACGACGAAAAGCATCTGTACCTGGCTCTGCATTGGAATCGCGCAGAGCTGGAGATTGCTGCATGACCAATAAATGACGTAGGCCAGCCAGGACGAGGCGCTGAATAGTCCGAATAAGCGTTGTAATCACATGTGCCCTTTCAGGAAGAGCGAATAACAATGCATAGGCCTGACTGACATCTCGAAGACAAACACTGCAATCCAGTGGTATTGTGGCTGTCGAAGTCGTGCCCAAGGCATCAGCGCCAACAGTAAGTGTGTCGTTAGGAGACGATGGTATAGAAGTGGAGGCTCGGTCACATAGATAAGGCTCTCGTGACCCGGTTGGGGAGCTATCAGCTAAAGAATGATGAAAATGTATCAACTAATTAAGCCGTAATATGTATTAAAATGAATAAGTAATTTAATTATGAATGATTACGCCATGATGATAATAAAACAGATCGTTACATAGCTTAAAGTCGAGCTAGGTAAATATTTTTAAATTCTGGTGAATTCAGTGTCAAGGAATAACCGACTTGTAAACGCTCCATATTTTTCACATGGAGCGAAAGCATAAGAATATATTTGGGCAAGAGTGATAAACCTCCCCTTACTGCAGCCCAAGTTTATAACAATTGAATGAAGCGCTAAATAAATGAAGGAACATTAAACCTAATGATAAAAAAACACAAAGATCAAAAAATAAAAATAGATGAGGGACATTATGTAATCATTTTGAACGTAATTTTCTTGCCTAGGAGCAAATTAAGAGAAAACCGATGCAAAAGTTTGTGAATAACTAAAATCGCATTTGCTTCCTGCCCAGAAGATTGTTTCCTCAGGAGGATAGAAAAGTGGATTGGCTGAAAATAATCAATATATTACAAAGAATTTGGCCGTTTTATTTGCAGTCCAAATATTAATCTCCTTGATAAACAACACGATGAGTTCATTAGCCTGTTAGCACATCGATCTTGTACTAAATATCCTAGCTACGCTAGCAGAGAATTAGTCTGCATACTTGATCAAAATACTTTATTATAACAGGTTTGCCAAAAGCCACATCGAGTTAGCAGCCAAATTATTCAATTTACGCAGAGTCGAGTCCAAATGCCTCCAGTCCCGCTTAATGTTCAATAGAGGTTCTCAAAACCTCTAGCATATTTCCGTCAAGTCAATAACTATATATTGAGAATGATTAATTTGACCAAAGAATATTATATCTACCATATGTGAATGTGTTTTTCGCCATCATATTTACCCCTTACTCAACTATCTTAAGCAAAAAGGCAATCCAAAAAAATGGTAAATTATAGGTTGACCGGTAATTCCTATAAAAATATATGCATTGGAAATTTTTACTTAAGTAACTATGATGGTGAAATTTAAAAAAGTACGGAAGAACAGGACATGCTGAAAAAATCTGTAGTTCAGAACAAAGATTCATCCGGATATGAAAAACATCCGAATATGAAAAACAATGATAGAGCTTCTAAACTAATAATACTAAATAATACTATGAAGGTGATGAATAAGAAAAATAGCTCACAAGCAAACGTTGAAATTGAGATATTGCTAAGCATGAAGCATGAACAGCTTAAAATAAACAATGAAGAAAAACGGACCTTGATACGTTTCACATGGATATTGTGTAAATAAGCAATTATTGATTCGTTACGAGTAAGTTTTCTAGACTAAATTCTTATTTTAAAATACCTTATATAAATATTTTTAAAATCATAATAGAATAAGGAAATACATTTATCAATAAATAAGCTAACTGAGAACATGAAGTACTGTGCATATTGGTTATGCTGCAAATGGCGTCTATACATTGGGAAAATTAGGCACATCAAAAATAAAAGGCAACTGTTGTGTGACTATTCGCTACAATTAGAAAATAGATAATGGGAAAATATTAATGATGAGAAGTGTCATATACTGGATGCCCACCAGTTATGTGAATAAAATGGAATTCCCTTGATCGGATAAAGTGTATGAATGAACTACTGTGGTGCTAAGAATGGCAAGGCTAATTGACGATACCGGCGAAACATATGGGAAAGTTCCAAGTCCATGGTCCAACTCTAGAAATTACCATGCATAGTATGGACCCCAGACAAGGTGAGTTCCTCTAGA